CTTTCTAAACCAATTCTACTTTTTTTTTTTTTTCTTTTTTTCTTTTTTAAAACTAGTCTAATCGGAAGAATAGACAATAATCAAATTAGAGATACATCATAGAGGTGAAAGGCTGTTTTTCAGGTTGTTCTTGAACTCTTTCCCAGAAGTCCTTACTATTTACTCTTCTCCTGTTACTGCCATCAGATATTGACCCAATGTTTTCATCTTACATCCCCTCTTGGTTTTCCCTTTTGCCTTTCCCTTTCCATTGTCTGGGTTCACGACGTATCTCAACCTTCACAAAGCCTCAGCAGCATTTTCAATAAGCTCTTGCAAGAGCTCTGCTGTGTCTGTCAGATTTTCTGCAGTGATGTACCTACTTTGGTTGATGATGATGGTAGGTCTGCGTGCATAATGACCTAGAGAATGGTGTAGGGGCAGAACCACCTAGGTTTGACCACTGACATGTGCAGAAAGATAGGAAACTTGGGACAAAAGCTTGGGAGCTGGAGGAAAGTATACTTAGCTTTTTGGGGAATCTATGTGGTCCAGCTCACAGATGTTACAGCCTGATTGTCTTATCTGGCCTTGAAAAAGTCTATACCCAAACTGACAGTTGTATTCCTATTTCCAAAACAGGTTCCAGGCTCTCCTCAGCTTTAGCTTCATCTCATTGGAAACCAAACCTAGCAACTCATCAAATGCTGTCTCAAATGCAGACAAGTACTGGAAGGCTGCATGAAGATATACATGATCTTTTAAGGGTTGCAATGAGGCAAAATGGCTGAGTCAAACTGGAAGAGATGTTGGACCACCATCACACTTTACTACACAACCCTAATCCCCAACTGTGTCTTAGTTACACAGGTCATACAATGTTCTCCATAGATTAAACTTGGGATGAGATGCTCAGCCCAGCACTGTGGTTCTGGCTCTGAAGACTCACTCAGCCCTTGTGATTATGGGCATGGGTCTTGCTCATCATGCCCTAAAGAAAGTCAACTAACACTTCCCTCCTGGAATTCAAGCAGGGCATCAGCCTTGCTTGTCAGTCATGCAGAAAGGAAGGAAGTCCCTTCAGAAAACTGAGAGTGGCATCAGCCAAGAGCATCCTTTGCTGCAGGCTTGCCAGAAGACATGGCATCTGCCTTCTTTCTCAGTATCAGCCTGACCCACACACAGGCACAACCAAAATACATAGGTCAGTCATGACAATCTTACCCTGGAGCTGTTGATCTGCAATCAGAGAGCTGTTTCTGAAGGACAGACAGCCTTGGGCTGTGTTCCATCATTTGCATTGTAAAGAACTATTTATGGGATACATCTGTTGGATGCTTTCAGTCTGTTATTTGATGTTGTTGCCCTACAGTTCTGTGGGGCAGTTATCTTCTGTTCTTAACCTGTTCCCCCCTGTGGGATTTCCAGCGTAGAGCCCTTCCCATGATACACAGCCATGAGAAAACTGCTGCTTGGTATCATCAGGATGCATTTTGGGAAGTGGACTACCTAAAGTGAAGCTGGAGCACATGAAATGCTGTGTTCTTTCACCATGGGTAGGTTTTGTTGTTGTTGTTGTTTTTTCTGTTTGTTTTTTGTTTTTCTTTTTTTGTGTGTGTGTGTGTGAATGATGATGGAATTCGAACTTTAGAAGAAAAATAATTTCTTTTCCCCCTAGAGAAATCTTCAATGAGCAAAGATTTCAGTTTTCATTAAAAAACTTACCCTGATGGAAGTTCTTTCACCAGATCTGAGCATAATCATAGAATCATAGAATCATTAAGACTGGAAAAGACCATCATCAAGTCTCCCCACCAACCCATCCCCACCACGTCTACTAAATTGTATCCCTCAGTGCCAAACCTACTCTTTCCTTGAACATCTCCAGGGGTGGTGACTCCACCACCTTTCCTGAACACTCTTTTGAAGAAAAATGTTTCCTAATCCCTAATATGAACCTCCACTGGAGCAACTTAAAGCCATAACCTCTTGTCACCTGTGAGAAGAGGCCAATTCCTATCTCACTACAATTTCCTTTCAGGACATTGTAGAGAGAAATAATATCTCCCCTGAGCCTCTTCTTCTGACTGAATAATCCCAGTCAGACTAAACAATGACATAAACAACTCAAATCACATAAACCATGCAAATCTCACAGACTGTGCAATAGCTTTCCCTCCCCTTGCCCTCCTTCATTCCCTCGAGTCATGGCTGCATCCACATCCCTTCTGCTACAGGTAGTACCTGGGAGGAGGCATGGCTTGCTCCAACCCCTTTATCCCTATGTGACATGAGGTAGACAACATTCTCTTCTGACTTGTCATCACAAATTCTTGCCTGTGGGAATGATAATCCTTGTGGAATTAAAAAAAAAAGCCTTTGTCAAAAACACAGTGGCTGGTAGTATACAGATTTTACTTCCTCCCTCATCCCTTACAACCTCTGTTATAAAAATCAGACACAGCAGCAGTTCACAACCATGTTTTAGACAGGTTTGTGCATGTATTTGGTACAAATAAACAAAAATATGTGCATTCTGTTTCATAGAGCTTACATCAATCCAACATTACTTGAATCACAAAACAGAAATACTCCGGCTAATAAATACGTCTGGGAATGAAAAATAAAAATCTATACATAAAAAATTCCAATGTCTGCTAAAGAAAATGTACACTTATATACACACTGTAAACAATAGTAATGCAACCCAACTGCTGTCCAGCTCAGGCTGACAGGGACGGTCCTTCTTCCTCAGATGGGACTCGTGAGAGTCTACTGCTCTTCACCACTCAACACTCGACTCATTGAAGCAGCAAGCTCTGATGATGCAACAGTGGCACAAAGCCAGTGCAATGAGGTGATTGCTTCTGGATAACCAAGGGATGAGTGCTTTGGGAATGGCTCGCTTGGAAAATTTGGAGAAATGGGGTCTTATCCTCAGCTGGTCACATCCCTTGTTGGTCCACAAAAATCAATGGGATTAGATAAAATTTACCTCCTGAAGTCTGAGCTCGTTTTTCCAAGCTTGGAGTTTAATGGAATCAGAGGGAAACGCACAAGCTTAAATACTTAGGTCACATTTCATACAACATTGTCCTTCTTCCCCTGGAGCACAGGCAGACCCAGCCTCCCCTAAATGAGGATGTACAGAATCCAGTCCCAGTACGGATTCTTCTGATGCAATATCCTAAAAGAAAGGAGGGCCTTAGGTGAGAACTGAGTATTTTCTCTTAGTGTGGAGTAGTGGAGCTTGAGATTTTTTCCTACAGCACCTTGTAGAGTAGTATATTCTGGGGCCTGATTAAACACCCACAGCTGCAATAGGGGAAAGTAAATGGGCCAGAGTGTGGGCACTGTTGTATGTGTATGCATATGTGGATGCATATATGTGCTTAAACAGATTTAATTCTCCTTTTCCATCCTGTGAGTCTTTAAAAGATTGGGATTGAGAGACAGAAAAAAAACTCAGAAAAGTCCTTCTTTCCCTTCTTTAAATATTACATATATAAAAGTAATAAAGAGTGCATGTGTGTCAGAATGGTCATGGATGAGCACTTTACTCAGTGCTATGGGTGTCTGCCTGGATTCCCACCAAGGCTGTGCAGCAGCACTGAGGCAGATCTGCTCCTGAGCATCAGAAAGAATCTAATGGCAAATGCCCATCTTCCCCCTGGCTAGACTTTCACAGGCAGGTAGTAATGCATTTGAGTTCAGTATAAGTGCAGCGCTGCCCATTTGTCTTGATGAGGTTAATGGCTGGGAGGAAAATATTTGGTCAAAATCTGCAGTAATTCATCCAGTTCAGAGTCCATTGCATTGAGTAAGGGGCAGAAAGGTACTATGGGTGCTGAGATAAGGTCTACTCTGGGGGCCATCTCTCAGCATGGGTTTAGATTTCTTTTAAAGCAGATGAACAGCAGGTAGGAAGTTGCATTCTCCATGCCAGGGCTGGGAGTTCTTTGTCTCCTTTGACAGCCATCCTTAAGATGATTAGGTGGATGTGCAGTAGGCATGTTCATGAATGACTCCTGAAAGGTCTGGGGGACAGTGCTGATGTGGATGAGCTTCCATCCAGAATATACTCAGCATTGTCTCCACCCTTGATCTTCATGTTCCCATTCTTAATTCACCTTCAGATTCAGACTTTGCCTCCACCACCTATGGGTCTCGTGGCTCTGTCCATGGCTAAATCTTATAGTTGTTATTTGTGGAAACTCTTAGGCTCACTGACAGTCTGAAACTGGATAAAAACAATGCCTAGAATACATGGCCAAGCAAGGTTTTCTGAACTGTTAAGCTTGGGGTCTGCGAGCTTGAACCTGGACTATCCTGTCCCAACTCCATCCTTGCTGTGGTCCTGGGGGGAGGCCATGGTGCCTTCCTGAGGGAAGGGGACTGTGAGATTGCGAGGAGGGCAAAATAAAATGCCACACTCTTACGAACACAGCTTTTGTCCACGCTAACCAAGGTTAAGCACTGCTAAGGCTTTGATGTGTCAGGAACAAGGGAAGCTGCCTGGGAAAGGAGTCATGAATATAAAGTCATTGAATCATCTGGGTTGGAAAAGACATTCAAGTTCACCAAGTCCCACCATCAACCTGACTAGTTCCATCACTGAGCTATGTCCCTTAGTGCCACATCTATCCACGTCTTAAATACCTCCAGGGATGGGACTCCCCCACTTCTCTGGAGAGCCCGTTCCAGTGTTTGACCATCCTCTCCATGAAGAAATTCTTCCCAATATCCAAGATATATCTTCCTGGTGCAATGTGACCCTTTCCTCATGTTCCAGTATGATCCTGACTGGAGAGAAGATGCATCCATGTGAGGGAGCTCCCACTGCACGTCAGCTCCATTTAAGTAATGAGTAATAGAGCCAGAACTTAAATGGCTCTATGTCTGCCCACCACACCTTTGCTGAGCCACAGCTCTGGCTGAGTCTGAACAAGAGCAAAGCACCTAGGATGCATCTTTACTCAGTGCTGTTTGACAGAAACAGCAAGTGAGAATAAGAAAGGGAAAGAAAAAGAGTGGGGATGGCCAACATCAAAAGGAGTTGTTTTCTCTGTGTCACAGCAGGATGCTTGCTGGAACATAGTGGGCTGCACATTTTTTCACTGGAAACTGGAATGAGAAATGTGTCACAGATAGGAATTAGAGAAGAAAGACCTGCACACCCATTGGATCAGTGTGTACATCTGGACTGTTCCTCTGTCCTAAAACCAAATGATGTGGTGGTGGCAAAGCTCTGGGCACTGCAGACATGATGGCTGAGGGACAAGATCCCCCTGCCCTGCTTGGGAATTACTGCTGTTTGCTCACCCAGGCAAAGGCTTGGGCCAGAGATCCTATTGAGCCCCACAGCCTTGCAAGCTCCCAACATGTTGTCTAAAGGATCAGCTGCCAGCTCCTGCTCACAGCATCTATTCTGGATGCCACCTCTGGATGGAAATGTTATCATGTGTACTAAGGCAGAGTTGGCACCTTTTGGGGTTCAGTCCTTCCAGTAGTGGTGTTTTTAAGGCAAAGAAGACATCTTGTTTTCCCTTAATTGGACAGCTTCCTCCAAAGTACAAGATAACCATCTCATTGGAGGAGACAGACTTTTTCTGAAGGCCATAAGCACCCCACACTTCCCCCTCTTGCCACAGCTCATTACAATGGGATATTCCACTGGTTCTTATTTGAGGAACGCATAATCCCATAGAAGGAATTGATGTCTCCATGGAGGATACTTCTAAAACCTTTGGGCAACTGCATTTTATACCTGATTGCTGCTTCCAGTCTGCCTGACAGACCCACAGATGGTACCCCTTTGTTTTTCTGCAAGATACCACTAAAGAAACCATCGACACCTGTCCCAGTGGCTTCAAATATCCGTTTCTCTCAACCCACAGCAGTCTGTTAAATCATAGGTTTGATAGTCGATGGTTTCCATAAAGTCATGAGGGATACCAATAGAGACAGACTCCACCTCTGTCTTGTAGGTGGCTGTCACCCCTCCTTTGCTGGACCCTCCCCGGATTTTGTTAGAAAGGCTGTTCATCTTCTCTTTCAGCTGGGTGGATGCTGGTTTCTGGAAAGGAGTGAGCATTTTCCAGCCCTTGAAGCTGAGTGTTCGCCTCTTGCTCGCTCTCTCCTGCAAGGAGGAGTTAAATATGAAGGAGCTGTTCAGGGTGCTAATCCTGGGCCTCAGGTCTGTCTCCGAGTCCTGCACAGAGCTGTTCATTGAGGCCCCTCGCCAGTGGTGGTCGTAGACACGCCAGATGGGCCGTCTTCTGCGGTGACATTGGCACTTGAGCAGCCTGATGAATGCTCTCTTGAACTCCTTGCTGGAGCAGGGATAGATGATGGGGTTCACGCAGCTGTTGAAGTATCCCAGCCAGAAGATGACCTTGAAGACCATTTCTGAGGGCTTCAGAGATGGGAAGAAAGAACCTTGGAAGAGATGGAAAGAAATAAGGTTAGAAAAAGTGAAAGGGCATTGCAGCACAGTGTAGCAAGGCTGGTGGACAGCCATTTCTTGGAATGCGAGCCCTGAAATAAAGCTGAAGGTGTGTTTCCGATATTAGGTCCTGGGCTTGTAATATTATTGGTACCAAATGTGAAGATATGGGCACTACAATACTGGAAGGCATAGAACATAAAGATGGATAATACCATGTCCTTGGCAGGAGCCTCCCAGCTTCCACTGTAACAGTGTTTGTAGTCACTGTCCTGCTCTAAACTGATGCAGGAGAGCCAAATCCATGAGGTATCTTCCATATCTCGGGACTGAGTAGCTTTCTGAGACCTTATAGCAATGTCTGAGCGTATTATTTTGGGGATAAGAGTTGATAGCCTGGGCAGGCAGACCTCAAAGGCCATCGAGTTCTAAACCCCACTGCAGGCAGGGATGCCCACCACTGATTCAGGCACAAGGTCAGGTTGCCCAAGGCCCCATCCAACCTGGTCTTGAACACCATTTCCATGCTGGAAGTCCCTGCTGGTTTTCCTAAAACAGCCGAAGTTTTCTTTGCAACCAGAAGATGTCAGTGTTGCTCCCACATGGCCCCATCCTTTAGCATTACCCACTCATATCTGAAATAACTTTCTGACTCAGCCTTAATTTCTTTTAATTTTAGCTCTGGATGACAAATCATGCCACCATGTGACTGAGCGTTAATTCGTATTTTAGTAAATAACATTAGCTCTGGATATCATTATTATTTTCCCTGTGCTCAAAAGCCTGGTGTCAAAACAGTCAAACAGGTGCCAGATATTCAGGACTACGGCTCTGAACTTCCACAGACTGCATTAAAAGTCCCCACAATGGTGGTTTTCTACTTTTTTTTTGATAGGAAAACAAACAAACAAACGAACAAACAAACAAAACAAAACAAAAAGCCATCATCCAGGAAACTCAGAGCTCTGATTTAAGCAAAGCTTTCTTACATTCATCCATCCCTTAACAGTGCAGGGTTTTTGCAGACAGACTCAGTCTGCAATGGGGGCTCAGTGGGGTATGTGGGCTACCCCATCACAGAGAGATCTCCACGTTTTCTGATGATTAGGGCAGGGAAAGCACACACATGGAAGTATAAATTAAATATCTGCCATAGGCCAACTCAAGCCATGGGGCTGGAGCACATGCTGGCTGTCAATATGTGCTGTGAGTGGCACTCAGTAAGGATAGCAAGCAGGCCTGATGTCTCTGTGCTGAAAAGACCTGGGGCTGTCATGGAGATGATGGCATTTGCAGAGTAATGAGTAGCTTCTGGTGGTGCAGTCCATGGTTTCAAATAGAGCTAGGATAGAGGTTTGCAGAAGCCATGCCCCTGCTGTGGTTGTGTTTGAGTCAAAGAGTTTATTCCTTCTGGGATAGTGCAGAATTTAGAGCTTTATTGGCTGCTTGACTCACAACATCAAAATCTAACCACAGAAACACCATCCGCAGAGTGTTTAGGCCCCAGCAGTGAAGGAGCAGTCTCCATTTGCACTGCATTTAGTGTCTTCTCCATTCTCTAGCCACGTGGGCTTTAAGCCTTCCCCTTTTCTTGCACCCCCAGCCCACCCCAAGGATCCTGATGCAACATTCCATTCTGATGCAACAAGGACCACTAGTAGGTTTCTAAGATCAACACCAATTCCTATCCTTAATTTCAAGTCTTGGCAGCAATGGGTGGGTTTTTGGGTGGGGAAGCTCTTTACAAAGTGAGTGGTGAACTACTGGAACAGGCTGCCCAAAGAGGTTGTGGATGCCCCATCCCTGGAGGTGTTCAAGGCCAGGTTGGATGGGGCCCTGGGCAGCCTGGTCTAGTGCTAGATATGGAGGTTGGCAGCTCTACCTG